ATAGGGGGCGATGGGGTGGGCATCGGGCTGGGAGGCGCGTGACCCTGAGGCGGCACCATTAGGCCCAAACCTCCTGAGTTCAGTGTCAGAAGTGAGTGTTGATTTTGATCACGCGGTGATTTATCTAGCAAATTTAATATAACCTTGTTTATTAACAAATTCAACATTATTTAACAGCAATTTTAACAAATAGACAGCAATATGTATATCAAGAAAATGAATGGGAATATAAAATAGTTGTCAAAAAAAAAGAATTCAATAATAACTTATTTGTTATAATAATATGAACTCAAAATACAAATGCGATTAAATGTCATTTAAATAGTGACTAAAAATAAACAAATGGATGATTCAGTAAATAATTATGTATTAAATGGTAAAGAGAGGGTCAGAGAATTGAATGAATTAGAGAATATGGTTTTGAATTCAACAAAACAGTAAAACCCCTTAAATAACTCTCAGTTGCAAAACATGAGGGAATCGGAGATTGCATTACGTTTGCAAACAAACGATATCTTTTGTCAAACATTTAATTAACATTACTTTCAAATGTGTGTCCAATCAATGGCTATTTTAAACCAAATATTAAATAAATAGTATTTGGTTATTAGGCAGAATACTTACACCGTATTTAATTTTTGAGAAATAAAATACTAAAAAAGCGATAATTATCAAACCTCATTTTTTACTTTCGCAAACTCTCGATTATCATTTGTGTACAGTATATTATGGAGAATAATCGGTTCAATTCGTCAAACAATAGAATACCTGAATATAACTCTCAGTTTCATATCGAGAATTCACGACAAGGTAATCTAAAGTGACTTAACAGTTTTGAATTTCGAAAATAGTGACTTTAATGAAAAGTACAAAACGTGAGTTTAGAGGTTTTTTCAGTGAAATAGAAAAATCATTACAAATATGTCATACGTTAACGAAAGACATCGACAAAAGAAAGTGTTTATAATATTGAATTTCATTTAGTTCTTGCATTTAATAATATTTCCGATGAAAGCAATGGAAAAATTGTAGTCAATATAATACTGTATGAAATGAATTGAATGAAGACTTGGAAGAGAGAAAGGGATCAAATGATATCATATTAATAAAGTTTTAAAACTGCTTATAATATGGCAAACAACGAATTCAATTGATTGTATCGTTTGATAAGCATTGGCTTTAATTCGGCCCAATATTAGGCATTCAACGCATTTGGCAAATGATAACTTCAATCGAGTGAAACATTTTTTTCACTCTCTTATAGTTTAACTCAAAGAAGCAATACTTTAAGGCCTTAAGTATTGGTTGAATGTATTTTATAGACATTTATGTATATATAGGACTGGACTTATATTGAGAGTCAAAGTATAGCTCTTAAGTGCTGTTCCATTAGATTTCACTGAATTGTCAAAACTTAAAGCTTTTATCACTGAAATTACTTTTCATGTTTTGCACTCAAATCTCCAAAAAAAACAGTGAAATAAAAAAATCATTACAAATATGTCATACGTTAACGAAAGACATCGACAAAAGAAAGTGTATATAATATTGAATTTCATTTAGTTTTTGCATTTAATAATATTTCCGATGAAAGCAATGGAAAAATTGTAGTCAATATAATATTGTATGAAATGAATTGAATGAAGACTTGGAAGAGAGAAAGGGATGAAATGATACCATATTAATAAAGTTTTAAAACTGCTTATAATATGGCAAACAACGAATTCAATTGATTGTATCGTTTGATAAGCATTGGCTTTAATTCGGCCCAATATTAGGCATTCAATGCATTTGCCAAATGATAACTTCAATCGAGTGAAACATTTTTTTCACTCTCTTATAGTTTAACTCAAAGAAGCAATACTTTAAGGCCTTAAGTATTGGTTGAATGTATTTTATAGACATTTATGTATATATAGGACTGATTCAATTCACTTTATATAAAACCCAATAATTCTGAACGAAAGAAAATTTGTAGAGAGAGAGAGAGAGAGAGAGAGAGAGAGAGAGAGAGAAACAGGTGTACTATTCTCACGATAGAGAAGAACTACAGTATGTGTTGTATGCGATAAATGCATTATACACTACACTATTGAATGTAATGCTCATATTCTGTGTTATGAACTCAAACACGATATGCAATACTGACTACACATTCAAACACTGTTATTCTTATATTGCATTTTAACGATAGTTTTAGTTTTTAATGATTTTTTAAAAATGAGGCTTTGTTTTCAAGTAATTTCACTTAACTTAATAATAATACTGTCAATGAGAGCTTGATTTTAAATTAAAAACCCCATACTTTCAAATGCTTTAAAGCGTTAAATATAATGCATAAACGAGACTAAATATACAGTTAAGGGTGCATTCAGTTTACTATAAGAATGTGTTTCAATACCAGGATTTACAATTAAAGATAACAATTATCACATTTAAACCAAAAAACAAACAATGAGTTGATAATAAATTGAAATATAGGACAGTATTTGTTAAGCAAACAAAATTATGAAACTAAAAAACGAAGCGAAGGATCAAAATATATACAAATTAAAGGTCAGAATATCGGAAGGAAATAATTAGTGGGTAAACATCATCGCCTAAACAGCCCCCACACAGACACATGTTTTATGTCATCACTTGGTCTGTATTTATACTGTAAAGAGTGTATATATGGCTGAAATTGAATGAATGAATTCAATCTCTCTTTTTCCAAACTCCCCGTCCTCTCAAGCTTTGGGCAAAATAACACAATAAGTATATCCTATTGTTGTGTTGAGTTTCGTATAAAACAAGTATTACAGCTGTGAAAAGGCCGGAGAGGTTATGGAGTCTATTATTCACTCCAATCCTACATAAATTAACCAATAATTTTCGGTTTCAGATATAATATTATCATACATTTAATTAAAAATAGAAAAAACATTAATTATAAAACAAACCACATGTTTAAATAAACAAAGAGCCGGAATATGAATCAGAATCACATAGAGATCTGTATTACTTAAAAAGGACATCAATTGCGGGACAAAAATGTGATAACTTTTATAATAAGCAAACAATAGTTTGTAAAATAGGATTCGGATATGAATTACAAGTTATATGAACAATGAGAAGAAAATAGTGCACCTGTATATAGATCTCTCTCTCTCTCTCTCTCTCTCTCTCTCTCTCAATACCAGGATTTGCAATTAAAGATAACAATTATCACATTTAAACCAAAAAACAAACAAAGAATTGATAATAAATTGAAATATAGGACAGTATTTGTTAAGTATAAGATTAATACAATTGTTGGTAAATCTCTCTCTCTACGGTGTGGTTTATAATAGAGTATTATATAAAGCCTCCGACGAGTGAATGGTTGGCCATTATATCGCAATCGAAACACTCCATCGATTGAGTCACGCATTTAAAGCATAATTTCAAACTACAGATGAATAAATCAACGAAACACTGAACAGATGTATATTGTATTCAATCAATTAGTGTTTTCCATTCACATCTCTTCAACTTCTCTATCACTTTCATCACTCTTTTGGTTTGAATCGCATTTGAATCCAATTGATTATAAATATGATTCCTATTGTATTGATTACAATCTTATAATTCAATCGTCGAGTTGTTATTTCAAACCAAATAGAAATCTATTCAAGAATAGAGGATCTGACGAAGTGAGTGAGTGAACATGAAATGAGAGATTTACCAACAATTGTATTAATCTTATTAAATAAAGTTATGTTGAATACAATGTGCAAAACATAACATAATACCGACAGTCAATGTTCACAATTACAACAAATACACAACTAATTACAACATTTGGTCTCAAAACAAACAACAAAACCTTCTGTTCAACACTTTTTGTATTGTTTAAAAAATTTATTTCTTATGAGTTTGAATCGCAAAAGTTTTAAACTTCAAATTTACTTTAGTTTCACTAATAATTTGAGAAACATTAATAGATATAGATTTCTTGTATTCATATAATGACAATTTATATGCTTTTGTACAAAATATAAAAAATCAATTAAATCCAAAGAATATATGAAAAAATTGAGAAAATTTTAAGCCTCAAATGAAATGTCGTTTCTATAGATAGCAGAAAATTACAAATACTTTTTTTAGGTATTTTTTTAACAATAGGTCTTAATGTTGTGATTTTGGTTCAGTAAAAATAACAAATAATATATATTTCACAACAATTAATAAATATTTTTTAAAAATAATATAAATATAAAAAATATCGATAAGAAATATAGTAGCGATAAATAACGCTATATTGTTTGCAACTATTATCAAAGAAATAAAAACTTTAATATACAAAATAATTTAAAATATATTAAATACTTATTAATGAGAAATGTGTACAAATTCCTGGCTTACAGACGATGTGATTCCCATAGAAGTCATTGAATAAGAATATTCATAAACATTATTCTCATCTAAAAGTATGCCATAAAATATAGGTATATATACTATATATAGAATTATGAATAAAATTTGTGAGAAAATAATAAATAAACACAACAATCAAAAGGCATTATAAAAATAAGTAGCGCTACTGTTGTGTTGGGTTTTTTGATCTTTCAGAGCACAGAATCAACATCTGATCGTATGAGTGATTCAATCGGTGTTTTCTCTCACCGGTGAGAAAGAAAGCATAGCGTCGTCCGCGAGAAACAGGCAGATGAAGGACTACTACCACTCCATTCACTGCATCACTACATACCTCATCACTTCACTCAACGTTACATTCAAATCAAATTTATATAAACAGCAAAAGGAATGTCATCTCTAATAAAGAGCTAATTCTTAACAACTCTTAAAACGCTTACCATTATTAGTGTTAAAGTTTGGCGAAACACCATATGATGGCAAATGATATACAGACGGGTCTGTATAGAGTGGTGCAGCCGTCGATAGTTGGCTTAAGTTTGGAATACACTGCTCCTCATAAGAGGAATAGTCATAATTATGGGCCATATTATCAACAAAATGGGAAGAATTGGCGATTTATTAAATATATTTCGATCAAAATTCTGGTACGAAATTCCGTTTCAAAAGCTTTTATTAGCAAATATTTACAAAATATTTTTGTTGTATTAATAAAAATATTAAACTATCATTCGTTTCACTCATCATATGTTATATGAATTAAACAGACATTTAAAGAATAAGAAGAATATTGTTCATCAAATTGGGAACCACTGACGGAGAGAAAGGCCTGGTATGGCATGAATGGTGATCGCATACGAGGCAGACTCCGATCTATTACGTGTGCAGCACTGCATTCGTCGTCAGTCTATGCCTTTCCATTAATTATCACCAACACCTGTGCCACAAGAAATATTTCCCACCGGCTTATAGATCACCGGCCATTGCAATTGCATAGGCGCTGCACTAGTGCTGTAAGCGCACAATAGGCCCCAGCGTTTGGCACTTATTATACACTTGTTTCGGGGCCAACGCTGAACCGCAGAGTCTCAAAATCAATAACTCTATCATTTTGTGGGCCCAACCACTCAAAAATGCAACCATTATTTACTTCACTATTCAGTTTTTTCCGATACTGTTTATAAATTGAATGAATGAAACAGTATTTTGTAAACAATAAATAGCATTTTTTGCTTTTGTGTATTGAATATGATATTCATTGAACAGTAGTTTTTGCATAATGTGTGGAAAATGCGAATTCTGTGTTCATTGAGAACTAATTGATGAATATTTTTGAATGAAAAAAGAGAGCAATACATAAGAAAATGTATATTTAATTGACTAATTTAGAGCACATCTGATAAGTGAGTTATAACTGCTAAATAAGTGTTAATAATATTTAAGCGCTAATCGCTATCAGAAACTACTTTTGTTAAGCGTTTTAATAAAACAAAAAACAACTCATTTCTCAATTATTATTACATCGAAGTCTTGTTATCAGTTTCATTAGAGATATACATTTCTTACGTAATTTTGTATTTAAATTATAATTTAATTAAATACTCATTACTTGTCAGTAATATCTTTCCTCGAAATGCAATTAAAATACAATTTTAAAGACATTTTTCTACTGTAAAAATTGAAACAATAATTTATGAATCAATGATTGAATAGTTTTAGTGTATTTGACACTAATTTATTCAGATTTTTCTCCAATGAATTCAATCTATATTTGTCGGACTTTTCTCACGAAAAGTTAATTTAATTGATATATATTTTAAATTATAATTAATTTTGTAATTTCTTTCTGCTTTCATGTCGTGAGAAAATTTTTCGAGAAACAAGAAAAGGCTTTAGTTTTGGGTTTTAAGTACTTTCGTGTCAAATGAAAGCAAAACATAATAATATATAAATACATAAATATAGTTAAGTTATTAAACGAGTCATACCTTCGTGGCTATGATTGCGATAATGTCTGTGATTCATGTGATCGTAATGTGGTTGGGGTTGCGGTGAAGACAAATCCATGGGGTGGTGACCGTCGGCGAAGGACCGGTGGCCGCGAGCACTGATCGGCATCGGAGAGTTGGCCGAATTGGACATCAAGTGATTCATGTGATCGCCATTCATATGGTGCTGATGTTGTATTTGCATTGGAGACGACTGTAGACTACTTTCCATTGACTGAAACACATGTTAAACGACATTACAATCAATTAGTCGCTCATAAACGCCACTCAAAGTGGCCTTTGGGTCGACTTCTCACGGAGTTTCCCATCCATTCATTTAACTCTTATCTTAAATCATATTTTGGTAATATTTGCCAAATAATTAAACAAAACAAAAACTTGTTATGAAAACAAACTAAAAAATCATATCAAACTAATTAATAGCATTCAATAGCTTAATAAAAGACACATAAATCGCTTTAAAATTGTCATTAAATTTAAATATAAACATAAAGACAACTAAAAGACCATTTAAATCATAAGGAAGTCAATAGTTTACTCTAAAAATTGTATTAAACAAAAAATATTCCCATATATTATATAATTAATATTTTGTACATTTTAATAATAAATGACTAAAAATGAATTAAATCTCTCAAACACTGCATTAGAAATATATATATATATTAATTAATTTAGTTTTAATTGTGGGAAACACTAAGACTCAAAGGACTAGGACTTCATTTGTTAGTCCCTTTAAGATCACTGACTTTTTGGGCTTAAATTATAAACACATTTCGTATTTAAATTTAAATGTCTAAAGAATTTCTATAAAGAAAATCATTAAAAAAAAATTATTATTCAAACAATTCTCTCATTAAAATAATTACATTGTATTTGTTTTCTTCACTTCAAAAAACTAACCAATTTTTGGGCAAATTTTGTGAAAATAAAGTTTGCATTAATTTGGGAAACGATTAATGAATCAAATGTTTTGCATTAATTGAGCGCAAAGTTGGCGCTAATTATGAGTTAAATAAATGGACATAAAAACTAAAAAACAATGCATACAATCGTGTGAACAAAAGTGTGACCACTGTTTCCGATATGTCATGCAATATATACAGAGATTAAGACATACTCTCATAGTGTAGGGCTCGGGAGCGATGGTAGGGCTGGGGGTCTGGTTGTAGTGATGGTTATTGTGGTGACCAGTGATGGGACTCACGCAGTGGTAGGCGTGCGACGGGTGCAGCACGTGATGGCCGGAGTCCTCGTATACACCAGAGTAGCCGTATTGTGAACCCTATTGTCGGTGCAAAACGAGCGTTAATTAAACATTCATTACGGTATCAAATGATTGCTAGTGTTAGCCAAATATGCAAATACAGCACAACAACAACAACAGTAACAAAACAGTAATCAACAAATCATTACATGATATGACAACCAAATCGATGCTTTCGCTAAGACCTCATCACTAGTGGTAGTGTTGCCACCAATGGATCCGTTATTATATCAAAAGGATATTAACACACAAAACAATGTTTGGTTCAAAACAATTACATAAACAAAATATAAATGTATTTATTGTTTGGCGTAAAAAATAATGTATAAAAACGCATGAAATGGTTGTGAAAAAGTCTCGTATAGTTTAGCAAAACATCTGTCCATTCATTCAATACTGCATTCATTCAAACGATCGCTGAATTCGTTCATTGATTTGTACGGAGAGAGCGATTGGAGGCGACATCTGATGCCAGTGTCGGGCAGTGAGGAGACAGTGATAGGCAATGAGACTCGGCTTCAATGCCAACACAGGATTGGGTTCAGGAATGCGCGGATGAGAGCCATGAGAGCCATGAGAGAGCGATGAGAGAGTGAAAATATTCCCACGCTTTGGGGGGTTATAGCGAAGGGGCATATCGTATAGGGCTATAGCTATGGCTATAGTGTGCGGCTATAGTGTGGGGCACAGAGTGTGGGGCGTGGGAAAGGAAATGTTGTGATGTTGTGGGGGTCAAGGATTCATATCGGTTGGGCTCCCGGTTGGGACCGACTCAATGGTCAACTATACCATCACATCATCACATTATCCCCTAATTACTACACATTACTACACATCACATCCCAAACACTGCGCGAATAAACTACTGTTTTTCACTTTTCTCTTACCTCTTAATGCGATAACAGTTTACAAAACTTTTTATTTGTTTGCTTTTTATGTGTTTAATTCCCAGAGTATTGAATACAAAATTGCGATATTATTGCAGAACTTTTTGTTACGCAACCTATTATTTATCTGCATTTAAAACATTTATTATTATAACAAAAAAGTTTTGCAAACTTTCAGAACCAATACATACCGTCAGTATTCATTCAGTCAATTGAAATGTAAACCAAAATATAATCTCAAACTAATTTACAGTAAGTGTTAGTTAGGCTTAACTATTGATTTACGAAACCACTGAATGCAATGTTATTTAAGCGCAAGAATTTTGTTTAGACAATAATCTTGTGTTAAGAAAAATATCTGAAATTTTTGTAATAAATCTTATTTATGGCAAAAAAAAACAAGAAAAAGTGATATTTTGCTCATAAATCAGACATAAAAACATAATCTCATTTAAATTCATAAAAGTTACACAAATTGTATGCAAAGAAATCAGTGATAAATGAGTTGCAAATAAATAAATACTTTTACAAAGTTTTGTAACAAAACTTTTTATGCAATGAATGCAAAACGAAATGAAAGTTTGAACTGATTTGCAGACAAAGCGTTTGTTGACATTGAATGCAATTAGCGGTGGATATAGTGTTAACTGTTATGCAAAACACACTTTCATTGCGTCAATACTTTAGCTATGAATAGATTTGAGAAGAATTTTTGGATCCAATGGTTGGCAACGAAGTCATGAGAAGAAGAAGAGTTGTCTCGTGAGAGTCGAGTGGAGAGAGAGTGAGAGAGTGTGAGAGAGAGTGCGTGAGTGTTGTGTTGAGCGAGTGTTGAGTCATATGTTGTTTGGAGAGAGCAGTGAATGACTGACTCAATCACTGCCTGTGTATTGAAAATGGCGTTCAGTTTAGAGACAAAACAAATGTGACGATTGAAGCGCTGAAGACATCACACCAGTCAACACATCCATACCATTGCTGTAACTCTTAGCCGCATATCTGATCCCAAATGGCAACTCACGGTGTAATCGATGACGAGATGTACAGCTCGTCAGAAGAGGACTGTTTTGGCGATTATTACGACACTCACGACGACAACGAAGACGAAGAGGTGGACAACTGTCACCACAAGCGGGACAACGAGTTCTTCGAGTACGAGTGCCTAACCATCGAAGAAGTGGAACGATATTTCAACGAAAGCGTGGAACAGATCTGCGGCGCGATTCAAGTGAGTCCATCGTTGGCCAAACTCATGCTCCACACTATGGACTGGAATGTGGATCAAGTGATCCATCGGTACAGAACTGATTGCTGTAAACTGTTGAGAGACGCGCGGATCAAACCGCAGACTCGCTTGGCTTGCGCTCAGAGTAGTCCCGAGTCGAGCCAATCACCGATGCCTTCATCGAGTAGTAGTAGCGGTAGTAGTAGTCATACGAGTCCTGCCATCGCTTCCAACACTTCTTCAAGCCTTCCGTTCAGATCTCGAGTTAGTTTTGTTTTATGTAACGTTTGTTACCAGAGCTGTCCGGCCGAGTATCACAAATGCCTGAGTTGTGGCCACTCGTACTGTCGCGAGTGTTGGTCCAACCATTTGGAGGTACATATAGTGAACGGTGTGACCACTAATATAGAGTGTATGGCAAGCAATTGCCGAATACTGGTTCCCGAAGACTTCGCACTCAATCTGTTGGCCACGAAGTCGTCGCTGAGGGATAAGTACCAACAGTTCGCGTTCAGAGATTACGTCAACTCTCACCCGAAGCTCCGATACTGTGTTGGCCTTAACTGTGATATCATTATCAGAGCTAAAGAGCCGAACGCCAAGCGAGTGGTTTGCAGTCAATGCCGAAGCAGTTTCTGTTTCAAGTGTGGGGCCGACTATCACGCGCCCACTCTCTGCCAAACCATCAAACTATGGCTCACGAAGTGTGAGGACGACTCGGAGACCGCGAACTACATCTCAGCGCACACTAAGGACTGTCCCAAATGTCACATCTGTATCGAGAAGAATGGCGGCTGTAATCACATGCAGTGCTATAGCTGTAAGCATGACTTTTGTTGGATGTGTTTGGGTGACTGGAAAACACACGGTTCCGAATACTACGAGTGCTCCCGATATAAGGAGAACCCAAACATCGTGAACGAGTCGGCTCACGCTCAGGCCCGCGAGGCCCTCAAGAAGTACCTCTTCTATTACGAGCGATGGGATAATCACTCCCGCAGTCTCCGTCTCGAGGAGCAGACACTCCAACGAATCAAACAACGAATCCACGAGAAGGTGATGGACAATAAGGGCACTTGGATTGACTGGCAGTACCTGTTGGACGCGGCCTCACTACTGGCCAAATGTCGATATACTCTACAATATACCTATCCTTACGCCTACTTCATGGAAGCGGGTCCTCGAAAGGCGCTCTTTGAGTACCAACAGTCACAGCTCGAGGCAGAGATCGAGAACCTCTCGTGGAAAGTGGAAAGGGCTGAGACCACAGACAGGGGTGATCTCCAGAACCAAATGGATATCGCAGAGAAACGCAGGGCTACTCTTCTCAAAGACTTTCTCGCATAACGTTAGGCACTCTTTAATGCCATTTATTTATCAAATTATGTATTGATTTTTCAGTTATTTGTTAATTAACTAAATATTTGATGAAATGTTTTTTCTATGAGTTTTCTGTTTGAATACCTCTGTATTCCGACAAATCTAAACGAATTCTTATGAATTTCGATATTTTTAATAGTTTTCAATTTATCTGTTGTTTTTAAAATCGTTTTATTAATCATTGTATCAATATTTCAATGCTTTTAATGCATTTTACTCTTACGTACAAATCAATTGTAGAATTAAAAATCATTTTATATAAGAAAGTGTGTCTTTTGTTATAACTTGATATGAAGTTTGGGGTTTTGACAAGAATTTTCAATTTACAGTCATTTTGGAGACTATTATATATTTTTAAAATATTTCTGCAAAAAAATTATCTCAAATTGCAATCTCTATAGAAGTTATGTCAGACATTAATTAGAGTCTAATGTAGACAATAGTCATCTCAATGTCATTGACTGTCATCTTATAACGAATGCATTCAGAGGCACAAAACGCTCGGCTCTTTAGATTGAAATAAGCGTTTAAATGAGTTTTTAACCAATGATGGAATGGACTGTCAGTCACACCATTAACACTATATTCAGTCAATGTTTCTGATATATGAGTTGCGAAGATATATATATTGCTGCACAGAGAGAGAGAGAGAGAGAACGCCGAAATTATAAAATATTTACTATTATAAGTGAATTTACGAGAACACAAAATATAATTTTTGCATATAATGTATAAAACAAGAAATTACTGCAAAAATATCTAAATTGAAAGAATATTTTCACGCAATCTTGCGATTGAACAATGAATTGGTTTAAGAAAGCAATGCCTATACGAAAGCAAACGCTACACAAACGGCCAAAAAGCGGCAAAACTTCAAGCTTTCTTCCAGTCGTTTGAAAAACAGCGATACATTTGCTTCAAAGTTTTGTTGGCGTTGTGTGCGGGCCCTCCCATGTCGTCATGTCATAGCCGTACGAGTGGTCATAATTTGGATCTTTTGATTCACAATTTTAGGTCATATAGTATTAAAAGGCGGACCTCTTATTAATACAAGTGTGTAATCAACTCAAGGGGTGCTTCAATTCAATTGAAGCGCACTATTATTTCACGATTCAATGCATTCACTATTTCTTCATAATTTGTGCACTTTTTTGGGCAAAAGTTTAATGTGAGAGAAAGAAGAGTCACTTTTTGATTTGCGGTCGCGATCTTCACCTTAAGTCCATTCGGTTCGCCTTTTAATGCACTGCCGTTCCCATCGATATTCAACACAAATATAGGGATTCTTTAGGAAACTGATTGTGAATATAGTTTTTGCTCGAATACAGACTACATGTTATATACACACCAATAATGAGGACTTTGTATCAACAGTATTGTAGACATCCTTTGATGCAAAACAGAATCACTAACTTTTCAAATGTCATTGAGATGTGTCCTACGATATGTCTAATTATTATGAGCTGGTATTCTGGCAGACATTTGATACCTATAATCATAACTATTATAAAATATTCTGTATATTCTATTAGCCATAGAAATGATGGAAAGCATTGAATTGAGTGATATTTTTTGCCAAAGTCGGCAATTCGTCATTCAGTGGTCTAACACTTAAACCAAAACATGTTTTTTATTGCTTTCAAAAAACTCCTGAAAGCTTTCCATTTAAAAGCATTGATATTCGGAGATATAGTTTGTCTCTTTGAGTGTCATTATATCATCTCCGGAGGTCCGGCCACCGAAGCTTTGTTTAATCAGCAATTGATAACAATCTTTGCTTTTATAATAAATGATGTCTTCTTTAAGATATTCCCTAATCTGTTATTAACTTTTAATTAGAGAAAATTTACTTTTAATTAATTCTTTCATTTCGCCAAAAAATATTGAAATACCGGTCAATAAAAGATATTTCTTTAAAAATGAAATAAATTAAACGTTAAAAGTAGAGATCAATTAGTATTCTTAACTCATATTCCGATCTGAAAAGTGCTTTTCAGCTTTTAGTCCATACTATAGACTCCATAGGAATGTACAGAAAAAGGGATCGCAATCCACACGACCGGCCCTTTTGTTTGCATTAAAATTTGGAAACACTTACGCAAAACGGGAGGAGTTATTACGATATTTGCTAATGTGTTGACTTTTGACACAAATTGGTTTACATAAACACCCATTTACTGGCATTTAAATTAGTTTTACTATATATTCTTGTATCACAAGAATATAAATGCGATGAGAATTTGAAATGATTTTAGCTTTTAATGATTATAAATGAAAAACCAAATCAAATCCCACATCATTTAGTGATGCAATCAATGCATATTAAATCCTTTGTCTCACGAGTCAGTTTTCCCTTTCAAGTATTGCTTCACAATTCCTCTATTTTATAATATAAATATTTAAGTATATTATACTTCTCGGTATACCTTATAGTTTGACTCAAATCATGTGTCCTATACTGAAGAGTCTGGCGATTGACTCACTTAATCGTCCAGAATATATATATATCTTCGCAACTCATATATCAGAAACATTGACTGAATATAGTGTTAATGGTGTGACTGACAGTCCATTCCATCATTGGTTAAAAACTCATTTAAACGCTTATTTCAATCTAAAGAGCCG